GAACACATGTTCATGATGATGATCATACTTTCAATGATCTCGATGTGCCGCCTCGTCAGTCAGTCAATAGCCTGTCTGACCTTTCTAGCTTTAATACTATGTTTTCGGATGGTTGGCAGAAATCCGATCATCCAGCTGTATGCGTGCGACGCAGTTACCAGAATTATAGTTTCCACTAATGGGCCATTTTGGGTTCAAAATACACCCCCCTCCCCCCGAATCTGCATTTATGCCTTTAAGCAAGACTAATCAAAGTTTCCGAAGTAAATATCTAAGCGCTTACCGTAACATAATGATAATTAATCACATTGGATGCATTCACTTCTGTAGCACAGAGCCCTGACTACACATTCAATAAAACAAACTTTTATGAATATACGATGGAGCTGAAAAACAGTTCAGATGAAGACGAAGATATTTCTTCATAAACATTCATTTCTGTTAGAGGTAAACAAAATGTTTCCAATTTGACTTCTTTTACAAAATCTGACCAAGTAATCATCAATATTTTTGTTATTGGGGTAAGGAATTTTCAACCACTCTTCATATAAAAGAACGAGAGAGGGAAGATAGATATAATGAGAGAGAGGGTGAGAGTGAGAGTTAGAGAGAGGAAAGATTGCGAAAGAACTAAAATGGGAGAGAGGGATGAGAGAGATGAAAGAGGATGAGAGGGAGTGAGAGGGAGTGAAAGAGAGAAGAGTGAAAGAGAGAAGAGTGGGAGAGTGAAAGAGAGAAGAGTGAGAAAGAGTGGGAGTGTGTGAGAGAGTGGGAGTGTGTGTGAGAGAGTGGGAGTGTGTGTGAGAGTGGGAGTGTGTGAGAGAGTGGGAGTGTGTGTGTGAGAGAGAGAGAGAGAGACAAGGCAATGTCCTAATGACAAAAAAGCACAATGGATAAAAAAAAACAAAAGTCTCGGCTTCCAAATAAAATGGGAGATCTTTGTAAATCGAGGGTGTAAAGAAACAGAAAATCAAATAAACGGGGATTCTTCAATAAATGGGGTGTCTTCCAATGTCTTTCAGACAACAACAATATTTGGAAGAACTAAAATAAAAGCCCATCGATGTCTTTAAAACGCTTTACCGAAATCTAAAATATCATAATAAAATCTTACCAACGTTAAAATATAAATAAACATCAAAAACAATATAAACAAAGAAATTAATAATGGATCTTCTCATCGGTTCTGGGAATTAAAAAAAGAAATACCACAACAAAGTGGTGGCGAAATTCATTCGGTACCCGAGAGTACACAAATGGGGATTTATAAAAATGTATGAAAAAGGTTCTTAAAAAAAAAAAAGTTCATTTTTAAATTGGGTTTACGTTCTGGAAATATGTAGGTGTGCGAAAGTGAGAGAGTATATGCTGATCAAAAAAAAAAAAAGAAAGGATGATGTTCAAACTTTCAGAAGAAGGGAGACAATTTACTGCTGGCATCTCTAGCAGAATTCTGATATGGACTCACCGCAGTAATAATAGGTGTTTTTGACACGAGACAATTGTCTGTAATTCAGTTTGTCGTTACTAGCTTTCATTTGTATTTGTCATCGAAGTAACATCTTCTCGCTTCAAGGTTATGAGAATTAAATGGAATTATTTGATTGGTTAATTATTCTATCTGATGGAACACGTGATAGGTTTTTCTATTACGTCCAGCAAAATTAGAATTATTTGATTTGTTAGTTATTCTATCTGAACTAACAAGTGAATTTTTGTTATTATGTCTACTAAAATCAAATTGGCACAAGTAAGATTTGTTTTTTTTTTAATAGAAACCAGGCGTGAGCGTTGTTTCCTTTTTAGAGTTCTCTGATTGGTTGCTAAATGTTTGCAATCTCGTACCATGAGTCACTTGCTGTACGGCAGATTGCTTGTGTATAGCTCACAAAAGCAAGACGGACGAATTACACGCGACATGTCACCGCAAAAATATCGGGTTGAGCAGAAGAGATTTTACTTTTTTTTTTATTTATTTTTAAATGAATATCAATTGCTTCCATTGCATCTTATTTCTGGCAATTGAAGCATGATACATTGCGATTCAGTTTAAGTGACATAGATTAATCACCTGCAAACAATCTGTCGACACCTGACGGTAGCAATGCCATTGTTAGAATTAGATCGCGAAAAAAAAAATCATACCCAGAACCTCTTTTGTCTATATCTCTGAGATGAGGTATGATTATTATTTACATTATTCGGACTATTGTCCTCATCTTCATTGCCATATTCACAACGTTTCGGCTATTGTACGCTCCGGCCTTCTTCAAGTGATTGGAATTTTTTCCAACGAAGTAGATTAGTCTAGCTCCACGTGCCATGCCTCTTTTGGATGTCCCAGTTATTTCCCTTCAACTTTCCAATTTTTTTTTTTTTTTTGGTTAACCACTGCTGTAGCCTGGTATTGAACTCACAACTCTTTGGGTCTAATCACTGGATCTAACCAATGATATTTTCCACTGGGCCATGTGTCCTTGAATATAGCAATGAAGATGAGGATAACAGTTCGAATAATGTAAATAAACCAAAACCTCTTGTTGACTGGGAAAAACGTCAAACCATTAAAAAAAATGTATTTCAATCAGAATGCACTCAGATTAACAGTTACTTTGCTCGTCCTGTCATTCAAATCGCTTGGGTCAGACTAAGCCAAACTTTGCAATTCCCAAGCTCCTCAGAGAGCAACAGTATGAAACATGGTCGTCTCACCTATCGTTACAACTGCATCAGTTTCGATGATCATGTGGCGCTACCAAATCTCCCTTTGTGCCATAATTGAGCAAATATACATTTTTTTGGTTCTGTGTCAGCTTTTTTTTTTTTTACATTTTACATTTTAAATATTAAAAAATAATGAAATCTTTCTAGAACAAAAGATGTTCTAGATATAAATCCTAGTTTTATTATTATTATTATTATGAGGATCTAACAACAGTCTCTCCTGCCAGAGGGCGCACATTTTCTTTAATAAGAATTCACAGGCCGGTTTGGTTTGGTTTGTCGTGTTTTACGCC